ATATGCTGGGTCTGCTAGTATATGGGGGTAAGGCGCAGTATATGGGGGGCTATCTGTATATGGGGGGTCTGCGCAGTATATGGGGGGTCTGCGCAGTATATTGGGGGGTCTGCGCAGTATATGGGGCGTCGGCGCAGTATATGGGGGGCTGCACAGTATATTGGGGGGTCTGGGGTGGCCTGTGTGTTAGATGTGGGGGGCAGTGTGTTAGATGGAGGGGCTGTTCATTACATGTGGGTGGGGCAGTGCGTTCGATGGGGCGCAACACACTACGTGCGACCTGTGTGTTAGACGTGTACAACCCTAGTTTCACAGAAAAATATTTATTTCATAGATATCATATGCCATGGCATGCTTTTTGCTATGAAACCGCAGCCATCTAGTCACTCGCCAGAGAAGGATGAGAAACTGCACCCCAGCGAGAGGGACTGCCCCACATCTGCAACCAAATCCGTCGGTCACCGATTCAATAATCTCCGTCTCTTTGTGCATTGTGTATGTATGGTACTCCCAATTCTTATATTTAATCCGGTGTGTCTCCCACAATCTTTGTGTCTGTCTGCTGTATGTATGTGGCACGCAAGTCTGCATGCACTGTGTCTGTTATGCCAGTTACTCTAACCAGTTTATTTCTTTTTGTGTGTGTCACAGCTCTGACAAGCATGTTCTCCTATGGGACACGAAGTACATGAAGAGGAATGAAGAAGCCCATGTCTGATGCTCTTCTCCAGGGTGGAGTATTGAATTTATAAGTAATGAAGTGGCACCTGACACTTGACAAGCTGCTCCTGTTTGCACAGCAACTTCAACATTGTGTACTGTGACCACTGTCTAGTTCAGAGGTAGGTAACCTTGGGCAGTCCAGATGCTGTGAATTACATCTCCCATAATGCTGGCAAACCATTATGGGAGGTGTAGTCCAAAACATCTTGGATACCGAATGCGTATGAATAAAACGTATGGTGTGTGTGAATGGTTAGTAACAAGGGTTGAAGCCTTGACGTGGCGTTACTGCTCACATGTGTATTCATGTGCCAATTCAACCAATGTGAGTCACTGTAATACTTATAAGGTAACCAAAAGTACTGTGATTGTGGAGAATGAAACGCCTGTATCACCTACACACTGTTTACACTGTGACCGTATCTCCTATACACTGCTTACACTGTGACCGTATCTCCTATACACTGCTTACACTGTGACCGTATCTCCTAAACACTGTTTACACTGTGACCGTATCTCCTATACACTGCTCACACTGTGACCGTATCCCATAAACACTGCTTACACTGTGACCGTATCACCTAAACACTGCTCACACTGTGACCCTATCATCTAAACACTGCTTACACTGTAAGCACAGACATGCTTTTATTCAAAATTGAAAGCGCTCGATCATTCTTTCTATTCTATGCCTCCAATCTTCAACATTGAAATTGTCATTTCTAATAATATAAAATAAGTAATATGCTTTCTGGTTACGATTTGGTGGGTTGTAACTATATTTTTTATTTTTACAGTTCCAGAGGGAAGGAGCAAACCGCTTTGAGGAGTCCCTGTATAAGAGACTATTGGATACTGAAGGGCTGTACTGCAGTGTCGGCTCTAGACTTGGCGAGGCCTTAGGCGAAACGCATACATGAGACACCACGGAGAACACCATTATTGAAGAAAAAATAGCAGTTGACTTTGTGTATAAGAAGCTGTAGATATATTGATGGTGGAGCTCAGTGGCGTATCCTGGTTTTGTGCTGCCCTAGGCAGGACAAAACTCAGGCGCCCCTCTCCCCCCCGCCTTCTAAATACACACACACACACATTCACTGACAGATACGCATACATTAGCTAACAGAAACAGACACACACACACTCACACTCACTAACAGACACACACAGCCCCCCCAGACTCCTTACCTTTGGTAATGCTGGGGGGGTTCTCTATCTCCCTGGGGTCTAGTGGGGCTGCTGGGCTGGTTGCTGGGGGGCGGGAGGGCAGCTGGCAAGGGAGCACTGACTCTGAGCTGTCTGCTCAGCTCCCTCGCGCGCCAGTGACGTCATGTTCCGGCTCCCAGCCTCACTCTGCGGCGCGCGAGGGAGCTGAGCAGACAGCTCAGAGGAAGTGCTCCCTCGCCCGCCAGCCCAGCATGTCAGTTAGCCGCAAGGCTAACAAGGCATGTGCCCTGGGCATTTGGGGGCGTCTTTTTTTGCCGCCCCCTGGAAAATCTCGCCCAAGGCAAATGCCTTGTTTGCCTCGTGGCTAATAAGTCCCTGGTGGAGCTTGCAGCACTGGATACACAGAGCTAGTCTCTGTATACATCGTTGCATAGTCTACCTGAGTGTGTGTATCTGACAGTGAGTATCCTTGTATCTGTATGTATGTTTCTCTGAGCATGTGTATGTTTGTGTACTGACTTGCCTTTGGAACTGAGTTTATGGCGAAGCTATGTTTTATGACGGTGTGTATAATGATTGCCTTTGGGGGGGTGACAGGGTGAGTAAAGGGGTAACTGTGGCAGGGTGAGTGTAAAAGAGCAGGAGGGTGCTAGCGTGTTGAGGGTTGACAGTGTGTATGGAGGGAGGTGGCAGAGTGTGGAGAGTGGTGACATAGTGTGAGAGGGGGGGTGATGAGGTGAGGGGGGAATGACAGAGTAAGAGGGGGGTGACGTAATATGAGAGTATGGGTGACAGAGTAAAGGTGAGTGACAGTGATGGTGGGTGACATAGTGTGAGGAGGATGACAGAGTGAAAGGGTGATGGTGAGGTGACCGTAAGAGGGGGGTGACAAGGGGTGATGAGGTGAGGTGACAGTAAGGGAGGGGTGACAGGGTGTGGAGGGCTGACAGGGTGAGAGGAGGGTGACAGGGGGATGACATAGTAAGAGGGGGTGACAATAACAATATATGATATTAGGCCACATGTGCAATTATGTAATTAATGGACAACATACTTTTTCAATTTTGTTAAATTAGAAATTAAATATTGTTTGACTTTTTTATATTGCCACTTTTAAAAAGATTAAAACTCTTAATTTTTAAATGTACAGTAATTTGTCTGTAATAACTTTAACCTGTTAATTATTGTGGGACAGTGGAGAGCAAACCCAAACTGGGACTCTACCAAACAATCCAGGACTGTTAGGAAATATGGCTTTGTAAAAACATATGATAATTTATGGTGCAAATAGGTTCTCTTGTCACTGTGCCTATGCATAGTTTTGCTTATAAATGTGGTGAGTTTCAAAAAATAGCAATAAGCATAGTAAGAAGTTGCTCTTTAAAAGCCCACGTCATCTCGTTTAAATGGTTTGGGTGCAGTGCCAATGTCCCCTTAATCCTGCAGTGTTAAATATTGCAGTTTCTGAGAAACTACAATGGAACGCAGCTAGTGATGGTATTATTTGTAGCTAAGTAACACAAATCGCATGTTAAAGTGTCAGCAAAATACTTTATTTCTTCAAAGTTATTATGCATTTTAGACTTTATATGTATAGTGGAAAAAATATAAAAGTCAAATTTGGAAACTGGTTAAGAAAAATTACACTGTGGTATCCAAGAAGGAGAAAGTTCAATCAAATGTAAAAAAAGTCTGTATGGCATTAGGAAGGTAGTATCTTAATAATATAATGGTCTCTTTCCCTGGACGGTCCACGATTCTCAATCACTGGAAGATGAAGGTTAAATCATGTCTGCAGCATGTGTTCCGAAACAGCCATATGGAAGTTTTCTGTAGAAGAAGGTAATCTCTCCTGTTTGAGCAGGCCGAGGTTAATGGTGGTGGGTTTGTCTCTGGCACTGGAACCATCAGTAGAGGAGTGTAAAATTGAGAGGATCACCTTGTTCTTCCCACAAATGTAAGAAAACACAGAACAGAAGATTGAGGAGAGTGGTTAACAAATCAATGAAACCGCAAACACTAAAACTAACTTGAAAAAATAACATTCACAGTGTGAGCAGTGTTTAGGCGATTGGGTCACAGTGTAAGCAGTGTATAGGCAATAGGGTCACAGTGTAAGCAGTGTATAGGCGATAGGGTCACAGTGTAAGCAGTATTTAGGAGACACGGTCACAGTATGAGCAGTGTTTAGGAGATACGGTCACAGTGTAAGCAGTGTTTATGGGATCCAGTCACAATGTAAGCAGTGTTTAGGCGATTGGGTCACAGCATAAGCAGTGTATAGGCAATAGGGTCACAGTGTAAGCAGTGTATAGGCGATAGGGTCACAGTGTGAGCAGTGTTTAGGAGATACGGTCACAGTGTGAGCAGTGTTTATGGGATCCAGTCACAATCTAAGCAGTGTTTAGGCGATTGGGTCACAGCGTAAGCAGTGTATAGGCAATAGGGTCACAGTGTAAGCCGTGTATAGGCGATAGGGTCACAGTGTGAGCAGTGTTTAGGAGATACAGTCACAGTGTGAGCAGTGTTTATGGGATACGGTCGCAGTGTAAGCAGTGTTTAGGAGATACGGTCACAGTGTGAGCAGTGTTTATGGGATACGGTCACAATGTAAGCAGTGTTTAGGGGATACGGTCAGTGTAAGCAGTGTTTAGGAGATACGGTCAGTGTAAGCAGTGTTTAGGAGATACGGTCACAGTGTAAGCAGTGTTTAGGAGATACGGTCACAGTGTGAGCAGTGTTTAGGAGATACGGTCACAGTGTGAGCAGTGTTTATGGGATACGGTCACAGTGTAAGCAGTGTTTAGGGGATATGGTCAATGTAAGCAGTGTTTAGGAGATAATGGGTCAGTGTAAAGCGCGTTTAGAGATACGGTCACAGTATGAGCAGTGTTTAGGTGATACGTTACCAGTATGAGCAGTGTTTAGGCGATAGGGTCACAGTGTAAGCAGTGTTTATGGGATACGGTCACAGTGTAAGCAGTGTTTAAGGGAAACGGTCACAGTGTAAGCCGTGTTAAGGAGATAATGTCACAGTGTAAACAGTGTGTAGGTGATACAGGCGTTTCATTCTCCACAATCACAGTACTTTTGGTTACCTTATAAGTAGTACAGTGACTCACATTGGTTGAATTGGCACATGAATACACATGTGAGCAGTAACGCCACGTCAAGGCTTCAACCCTTGTTACTGACCATTCACACACACCATACGTTTCATTCATACGCATTCGGTATCCCAGATGTTTTGGACTACACCTCCCATAATGGTTTGCGGGATTATGGGAGATGTAATTCACAGCATCTGGACTGCCCAAGGTTACCTACCTCTGAACTAGACAGTGATCACAGTACACAATGTTGAAGTTGCTGTGCAAACAGGAGCAGCTTGTCATGTGTCAGATGCCACTTCATTACTTATAAATTCAAAATACTCCATCCTGGAGAAGAGCATCAAACATGGGCTTCTTCATTCCTCTTCATGTACTTCGTGTCCCATAGGAGAACATGCTTGTCAGAGCTGTGACACACACAAAAAGAAATAAACTGGTTAGAGTAACTGGCATAACAGA